TGATAGGACCAGCTTGCAGCTGCTTTAGCTAGTTCTCTGCCTCAACTTGTGAGCTATACTATCTGTGGTACAGCCAACCAGTGGATTATACTGCTAGAGCTTGAGGTTCCTTTGAGACCTGCTTCACCACACTGTTAGTGTGTACATCACCTGAGCTTGATGCTGGTCCATCCTGTCGTCTTGCATTGGTGGAGTTCGCCATCTCATCTGGACCTGCTTCCTTAAGCTCCTGAGCTGCTGGGGACCCACCCTGCTGTTTGCTGCCTGTGGGCGGTTTCTGCCTGAATTGCCTGAGGTAAGACTCAGCCATCAACTTGGACCCAGCAGCCCTCTTAAATGGAAGGACTTCCAGTATATTAACTGTTACAGGTGAGTGAGTTGAACTAAGGCCCCTGTACTGCTGTGTGGGCTAATTAGCTGTTATATTCCTTCGTGCTATATAAACCTATCTACGTAAGTTATCTATCTATCAACACCACACACAGCCCTCACCTACCTTCCTATTTATTTTCAAAATACTTTGTTTTTGGAGAAATTTTTTTCATCGCAAATTAGGTTCTAATTTAACAATTTCTGTACATATTATTCCACGACATTGGTTGCACTAGTTACAATGTATCACCATTTTCATTATTTCTATTTGGGTTGGTCTATTTCCATTAATTTAGCTTCTTTGCCTCCACACTTTACCTTCTCACCTTTGGGCTAGGGTAAATACTGACCGGTAGGTATTTTTCGATGATTGTTTAGAGGAGCATGGTGTGCACAAGATGATATTTTTATGAGCCACTCTGTCTTGGCAGAGGAACTTCTAGGGGTGGTGTGAGTTCCAAGTTTAAAGGGTGTCCCAGGGTGATGATAGTCTTGGGGGTTCCACAGGTCTCTACCAGTTCAGAATTCTAGCCATTTTTCTTTTTATGAGGAATTTGCATTTTGTTCTCCATTTTTTGCCCTATCTGGGACCATCCACCGTGTCCCTGGTTGCAACAGTTGGTAGTAGTGGCTGGGCACCATCTAGCTCTTCTGAGCTACATGATTCATGGAGTCCTCCAGATTAGTTTCTTCTGTCTTTGGTTTCCTTCTTTCTCTTTCATCAAGACACAGAGATCAAAAGGTAGTTGTCTTTTAAATGGTCGCTTGCAAGCTTTAAAGACCCCAGATGCTACTCACCAAACAAGGAAATGTAACTTTATCTTTCTGAACTTGCATGCCAATTAACCAGGTTGCCCTCACCCTCACCCCTAAGCCCTCAAACCCAGTAACCCACTCCCATGAGTTATGCCTAAAAAGTATCCAGACCTGCACCACCTACTTGCTCTTTTATATATGCCTACATATGCAGTACATTTATATTTACCTAAAGAAACATATGCATACCAATAACACGTGCATATACACACACATACATAACGACCTATATAACCACACACATACCTTTTGATGGCTAATACTGTTAAAATTTTTATGTTGTGACTTTTGCCCAAATCACCCTTATTCTTGTGTACTTCTTAGCATCATCTTTCTCTACCTTGGTCGATAATGTACACTTCACCCTTTATTTGGTCCCTTCCATCCTTGGTTACCACCCAAGAAGGTTGCTTTGTGTATATACCAGTTCATCTTTGACAGTATAATAGTTTGCCCTTTTGTGACTGATTTCACGTAGCATGTTTTTCAGATTCAGCCACGCTCTATTTCAAAAACTCTTTTACCCAAATGGCTGCACAGTATATTCCATTGTATGTAGCTAGTTTGCCCAGCTGTTGATGGAGCTCCCTCCTATCTATAGATTAACGTTGTTTCCATAAAACATTTGCAGCTTGAGTACTACTTCTGAGTGATTGTTAACATCCGATTTAATTGTTTGATGACGAACTTCATTTGAACTTATTCAAATCTGTATGCGGACTCTCAGTGACCTTATAGGGCCGTGGTGCCATGGAAGAAAGGCCTGGTGATCTGTAAAATTAGCAATGCATGTAATTAATAAAGAAATATTTTGCGTGTGATTACTCTTGTTGGATCACAATTATGGAAGTTTTCCCTACTAAAAATGAAAAGGCTTGTTCACTCCTATGAAACCCTACCATGGCCATCTTGGTTCAAGGGGCACCACCTTTATAGCTTTCTGAAATGAGTTGATGCGCTTTAAAATATCACATGGACTGTCAGAAAGATGAACAAATCTGTGTTGTAAGATGTACAGGCAGAATGTTCCTAGAAGTGAGTAGGAGACTTTGTCTCATGGACTTTGAACTTGTCATTAGGAGGGACAAATCCTTGGAGAAGGGCATCATCATCATGCTTGGCAAATTCGAGGGTCGGCAAAAAAGAGCAAGACCCTCACTGAGATGGAATGATGACCCAGTGGACGCAACTATGGGCTCAGACAAGAGTTGTAAGGATGACGCAGGACCAGGCAGTTTCAGTGTGTTGAATGTAAATAGGGCCGCTATGAGTTGGACCTTATCTACAGCACCTAACAGTACGTTCAGGGTCTTATACCTTCTGCAGGAAGCTATGTTAACATTGCTGTTTGGGAATGAGTGAGGACCATTCTGCTAGATGCACATACCAAATGCTTGAGGAAACACTCTGAAGGTAGATAGCTGAAAAACTTACACTAGTATTTAATATCAATATTTCCAATAAGGGAGGGTACTAATGCACCAAACGGATGCAGCCATTATGTACGTTTCCAATTTTATTTTGTTTTTTAAGGTTTTCAGTTTTCAACACAGAGCCCGAAAATGTTTCTGTCTCCACCCAACAGCACACATACATTTACATCAGAAAAATGTGTCAGGGTCATAGAACCAAAATGAACGAACAAAAATCCACCCGACTCATGGGTATGGAGTCACTTCTGACCCTCACTGACCTTCTAGAGCAGAGTAAAGCTGTCCGAGTGGGTCTCCCAGGCTGTTAATCTTTGCAGGAGCCGAACGCTTCATCTTGGGCTTGAATTGCTGACCTTCTGGTTAGCAGCCCTACACATCAACCCACCCACTACGCTACAAAACTAAAACCAAACACGACCAGAGTCAATTTCAACTCATAGCGACCCTATAGGAAAGAGAAGTGTCCCTCTTGGTTTTTGAGGTTGTAAATCTTACAAGAGTAGACAGCCTCATCTTTCTTCTGAGGAGTCGTTGGTGGGTTTGAACTGCTAACATTGCAGTTTAGCAGCCCAATATATAACCCACCACACACCAAGACTCTTAAATGTAGCCCCGTTAGGAAGAGGGGATTGCGAAGGATGTTCCAACAGCTGCTTGCTTTAAAGGTCGACCTTGTTCCTCCGCACAGTGCAGGAGTCCCTTCGTCTTTGCTCACAGCCACTGAGGAAGCAGCATGGAGGTGGATCGGAAGGGGAGGCAGACTCTGAAAATGCACCCTTCTCTCATGGTCCCACCTCAGTATCGGATTAAGATCCAGACATTATCTGGACTTCTGGATTCCAAAGGTGTACCCACTGTTCTAATGGACGGGACGAATTCTGAGGCGAGGACCCAATAGCAGGTGAGTGGAAAATGATTTTAAAGGCACAGGAACACCCCACGAACAGATTTCTATTCAAGCAAGTGAATCTTACTCCCAAGCGCTATCAGAAAACGTTTCATGGCAAAAGCTGATTCTGAGTACTTTTCACATCTGCAGGTGAAAACAGAAAATTGCTACTTTCATCTTGTGGCTGTGGCCCTACCAGGCAGCCCCGGGGGCGGGGGCAGAGATTGTGGAAGAAAAGGCAAGGAAGCCAGTTGCTCTGTTTATTCTCTAACACAGGGATTGCTTTGAAGAGCAGAGTTGAGGCCAGGGCAGAAGTAGTAGATGGGTAGAGGTAGAAAGTAGGCTTAGGGTTTGGACTACACTGTATGCTGTGAACTGGAGGTCAGGGCACACAGTGACCTCCAGAGAACCACTTACGTAGGGCACTTCATGGACAGCTTGACTCCTTGACAGCTCAGCTCCCACAATCTTTCCCTTCAGTTTGTAGCAAATTGGCCAGCTCTGTGAGTGATCACACAATCATTTGCCATGACACAGACGGATTCCCACCCACACAAGGATACACATAGAATTGAACAAAACCTTAGCATCCACTCAACGAAATGTTGGCATACCTCTTTAAGAGACCCTGGAGTAACTCAATTTTAGGGACGTGTATAGAGGTTTCTGTGGATATCACTCCTTTGGGGAAATGGCAAATCCTTCTTAAATACTCAACGGAAACCTGCGAGATGATGTACTGTGATTGTCAGCTCTCCTACTCCCCCTTCAAAGATGATGCAGACTCTACTTCCGGTGTCCGAAAAGATCTCTTACACCAAACACCCAGTTGTTTGCCAATAGGATTAACTGTTGAGATGTGAACACTCGGGGCATGAAAACCAAGATTCAGTTTGACCTGACACTTCCCTTTTAACATTCCCTCAGCCAGCCAGCGAGGTGGTGATGGGAACCAGGGATGTTACCACTAAGGAGCGGAGGCCTGTTTGCCCACATACCTCTCCAGCACAAAGTAAGGTGAAGGGCTGAGAAGACACATTTCCTCATCAATGGAAGGAACTAGAAATAACTAAAAGGCCGGAGGGAGAAAGACAGCATGTTCACACAGCCACACTGACTAAATAGACTTGGGCTTGGGGTCTGCAGGTAAAGGCACGGCATGAAGTCTGGGTTGCAGGATGTACAATACCTGTGAGGAGGTGGCATGCCATAGAGGACCAGCCAATAGCAGGAGACTCTTCAGAAAGCCATTAACTGAATCGCCTTTGGTAGACTGCTGAAGGACCCTTGGGACTTTTCCAAAATATGCCCTTCAGTCAACATGTTCAACCCTTTTCTGACTGCTCTGAACGCGGTCCCTCACCGGCAATCTTTCTTATAAGGGATAGAGATAGGCTGGTAACCTTGAGCAGCCTCCAAACAAGTATACCTTTATTTACCCGTGGGTTAGCGGTTTCCAAATCTTAGAAAAAAATCAAAGGGGAAACAAATTTAATTTATAAAGTTTTATTTTGGGATATATGCTAAATCTTAGGAACTGTGGACAATCTGCACGTCAGTCTGTTGGCTTGTGAAAGGCTGAAAAGCAGGATATGGGAGGGTGAAATTTCCTTTTGGGAGATTTCAAAATAAAAATGTCCCCACTCATTTCTGAGTTGAAAATGCCCCCCCACCCCCACCTTCCTTGAACCTACAAATTTGGAGGAAGAGTGCTACATCTACGCAAACGCAAAATAAGTGTATAAATACAATCGGCAGCGTTTTTTGTTTTTGCACATTTAGCACTTCTGTAGTGATTTATCACATCCCCAAACCTGTAGGCTGATTGTGGTCAAGCCGACCTCAAAAACAGTATTGCCCCCTCCCCTCCCCCAATAACACAAAACTGAAGGAAGAGGGACACCATTGTAGGTTCTGGGCAGTATCTCAAACTAGAGACCAAGATTGGGCACTTACAATGAAAAGGCAATTTTCTTACCCAGTTACAATTGTAAATAAGGCAGGGTATATCTACCAAATAAACCATAAAACTCAGCAAAGTAAACCAGCTTATGGGAGAACTCAAGATCTATTAAAAAATTTTGTAGTAGTCATCTGAATGTTCACCAACGTTTGCTTGCATTTACAAATGTTATTTTACATTAAAAAGGCTCCAGATCTCTTTCACCATTAAATCCTGGGACCTGGCACAATTTGTGTGCATCAGGAGAACTGGGTCCCACAGGGCTTTCCCTGGCTAACGTGTTGGAGGTAGCACGCCAAAGCCTTTCTTCCAAGGTGCCTCAGGGCTGCCTCAAACCCACCTTTCAGTTAGTAGCACCACTCGGGGACTCCCCTTTAACCATTATTAAGCTTAAATACTTGTTATCATTATTCACTAGTAAAAGTTAACCATGAAAAAAAAATTCAGGTAATTCTAAATATGTATACATGACAGCTGGGACATGATCACCGAGAGAAAAATCGACAAGACAGAAACTCCAAAAATGATTAAAAGCGCATGTGTCTGCCTCTATAATGCTTAACAGGAAAATTCAGTTGGTGGAGGGCTTAGAAACAGCAGCAGGATGGTTTTTATCAACTTGTGCACGTGATACTTAGATCCAATAGGGAAAAACCTACTTCACATTGCTTTATAACTAAAGATCATTGTCCGTCTTTACACTGAACAGAGTCTACTGGCTTCTATACAAAGGAACATGCCATTTAGGGTTCTGGGGCTCTATCTCTCAAAGGAAGATTAGACTAGAGACCCCTCAACAAACATTTAAAGTAGGAAATATATGGCTCAAGAAATCAGTTGAGGGAGAATTAAGCCATCTTCAGGCACTTTGAAGACTTGCAATTGTAAGCGTGCCATTTATGTCCCCAAAAGAACCTCAAAATCATACTGTGTTGTTCTCACAATGGAACACATGCATCTTTTAAAAAGTCCTGGTTATACATTAATGCTTGTTTAGGGAGTTAAAAACAGGAAATGATTTGCAATAAACCAGTAACAATTTTCTCCATGAACTTATCCTTGCTACTGCTCAGAGGAAGAACAAATGATTTGCAAGCCCTCACCTGGAAATACGAAAGGAACTGGGGTGGGAATCTCCCACACAGGAAAAAAATTCACAGCCTTTCAAAACGTCTAGCAAGTCAGCGAAATGTTTCAAATTAAGTACTTTTTTTGAGGAGCAAAAATTTACAAAACTCACAGGGCATACGGAACCAAAGTAAATTGTCCCAACAAAGGTAACTTATTTTGCTCATTGTTGAGGAAGTCTGTACTTGTGGTTTTAAATCAAAACTATCCATTGGAATTGCAAACACGGCACACTTTTGCTCAAATGGAAAATTTAGATGTGCTGAAAGTAAAAACTGATTCTATCTTGGTGTCAAAATGCCCTAACATTAGAAAAAGCCTAGAAGCATTAGATGGATTATAGAGTATTACTGCAAATAAGATACCCAAAGCTTTTTCTTAAATACCTGCCCCTTTTTAATCACAAAATAATGCAATTCTCAATTTTGTTTCTGCTTTGTTCAGTTCCAACTATAGCCTTTGACAAAACATTTCCCTAGTAACTGAATTGTAAAAAATACAACCAAGCTTGTGCTCATTAAATATACATGTATATAAAAAACATACAAAAAGTACAAGATTGATTTAATGTTAGGAAACTTTTACAGTGTGTCAACATCCTAAATTTGGGAGGGAGGGGTGGGTAATCTTTAGTAAAGGGCCAAAGGTCAACTCTTTCTGTGCACAAAAACTGTACGGTAACTGAACTCAGTGGCATGCCCCCTGGCATGCTATGCACAGAATCGATTTTAATACGCAATCCTTGAAAAGAAAGACAAAAAAATAAAGTAACCAAAAATGAAAGGGGTGGGTGGAAAGGAGGGCCCAAAACATACCACAGGACAAAAAGTTCTTCGTAAATCAAATTCTATTTGTGAATCCAGCAAAATAATTTCTATAAAATAAAACAGCAAAATATTTAAATAGAACAGGGTGGGCTGTATCTGTTTGCAGGGGTATTTGGTATGTAGACAGGTTTGAAAAAAATTACACACATTCAAGTTACCAATTCTCTTTTAAATACAATATTAACTGGAGCCCCTTAGAATCTTTAATCAACTGTTTATTCTGAAATCGCTGTTACCTCAATGATATTGGCTATCCAGTAGTTTTCTTCTTTTGAATTAAACCTTGCCTCGAACATCAAACATTTTGGACTAGAAGAGGAGCTAGGGCAATTCTTGCTTTCAAGTAACATTGTGACTGAGCAGAAAATGAGCCTGACATCTTGGTGCAGTGGAGACTGATTCTGAGCCCTTCCACACCTTACTGGGATCCAGCAGAAGTAAAGCTTGACAAGATTTGCCTAATAAGCTCTACCAAAGAAAGAAAACAAGCACACCAAATACAATCTTCTATTATGCCCCGAGAGTCCTGGCATAGCAAATTTTTGCATATTTGTTTTCAACCTTTAAAAATTCCCATTACTGAAACCAAAGTGTTCTTTCTCCACCCAGAGGGCAAACTGTCAAACATCAGATGTAAGGAACTATGTGTAACCGAAAACTGCCTGCCTCGCACGTTTCTTCCCTCATTTTAGCTTTTATAGTCTAGGTGTAAGGAAAAGCTCTGAGCAATACAGCTGCCACTTGGGGACAACTGCTGTCATAATAGTAATTTTTTTCCTCATTGGCTACACTAACTCTGTGTGAAGCCATGCTAAATGTTACAGCATAACTATAGCTTCAAAGTGATTAACCTAGTATCTGAATAAAAAGGCAATGAAAAAGATCTAGAAACAATGTAACATCACCAATTTTCAACATCAACCAAATAATTCAAAGATTACCAGCTTTACATTGCTCATAGCAAAACTGACTTCAATGGCAAGAACTAACATGGAATTCTGGTGTGGGCGGCTGACACGGATGGGCTCTTTTGTTGCTGTTGGTTTAGTTTAGCTTTGTTTTTGTAAAAGAGTTGAGATCCAACTGCCACGAGGCAGGCAACACTGGTTGCAGAATGCAGTGGGAATCACGAGAAAATTAACTTTTGTAGTTTTTTGTAGATCTGTGAGTCTCATCAAGAAAAAAGTTCCTTGCTTAAGAATTAACAGTCAAACATTAATATACTATATACACCTTTGCCATTTACACATTAGCATCAGGCCATTTATTACAAAACACTATACACTTTCCACTGCAGGCGGGTTATATATTGACAGCAAATTTCTGCAGATAAGACAGTGAATAAACTCTCCACTCCAAGTTGATTAGGAATAGTTTTTTCTAGTTTTAAATATTAGCCAGACACAGAAAAAAGTTGGACTGTAAGGCCTGGGTGCACAGTCTTGATGGAACCAGTTAAGTACGTGCACATCACTGATCCTTCGTCTGAGGTGGGGGCACTTCTTCACTGCCTTCATAATGCTCCTGTGGGCGTTGGCCAGATCGCTGGGGGTTGTTCATGTGATGTGCAGCTGGGCCTGTATACGGTTGTCCATGCACATGGTTATTCTGGGGAGGGAGAGGGACACCCGAGTATGAAAACGCTTCACATACAAAGACCTTAAAACCACAGCCGGAAGCGCACACAAATGCAAACTTTTCTTTTAATCCTAATGTTTGTGAAGGTAAAAAAGAAATGATTTGAAAGAGACACACAGAAGAAAAGGGTGTGGGGGGGGGGGGCCCCCCCCCCCCCCCCCCCCCCCGCCGCCAAAAAAACCCTCACTGCCACCAAGCCATTTCTGACTCATAACAACACTATAGCAAAGTGTAGAACCCCCACTTTGGGTTTCTGAGATTTGAAATCTTTACAGTAGTAGACTGCCTCATCTTTCTCCCAAGGAGTAATTGGTACTTCTGATTAGTAGCCCAGTCACAGCCCTCTACGCCACACTAGTCTAGTACAAACTCCACAGTCCAAACAAAGTGGCATGATGTTGTAGGTGCCAAAAATGTAGGCTCAAGTTTGATCAAGCAGTTAAGTCATTGGTCAAAAATCTTCAGAGAAAGGATTGGTGAGCTGAAAAACTCATCAATACAGACTCATGTAAACACGTTGAAACTTACAGATGACAAATCGGACAGGCTGATCGTGATACAAAGTCTGCATAAGCAGTAACAGTGTGTTATGCACAGAGCAATGGCAAAGAGGATCATCAGGTGTGATTAATGCAAGAGCTTTTTTGGGCCCAAGGCAAGTCCCTTTCACCCTTGTGGACCTGGTTCCCTAATCCTTTAGGCCCCTGAACCTGACATAGTGCTCTCATTTTTCTCTACACACCCCCACCAGCCAAGATTTTAGGATTTACTTCCCATCATTTCTATTATGTTGAATATGCATTTCTTAACTACTCAGCATGCTTCTATTCCAGCCCTGCAATGTAAGACAGTATCACTGAGCAGAATGCAGCCCACATAGCAGCAGCAGCAGCAGCAGCAGCAGCAGCAGCAGCAGCAGCAGCAGCAGCAGCAGCAGCACTCAGACCCACAAGGCAGACAATTCTGGGGGAGGGGTCCAGTTGTCTGTGTGAATAACCTCCCCTCACCCTCCTGGGGATTCTGATGCCTATTCAAGTTTGAGTTAAGTCACATCTGTGTTATAAAACGAAGAGTTCTGGCAGGGGAGACACCATGCTCAGGAAGGTGGGTTTCCCAGGGCGAGGCTCATCCATTGCACTGCGGGTGTGCTGACCCCTGCGATTTCCCCCAAAGCTGGAAACTCGACGGCATAATTTGTGGTAGTGGGGGACTGCGTTCGCGCTCTCCCATTTATTAAAAAAACAAAAACAAAAAGGAAGAGTTCTCATTTAGGGTGTGTCTTCACCTAAAATTTCCCCACTATTATTTTTCTTTTCTTAACAGTTAAGCGCCTATTGTAATTTGTCAAATCCGTCATTTTCCCCCAATAATTGTTAAGGCCACTTAAACCAGAAACAAAATAATCAGGAACTTCTTACTCCTTGGATATACTGTAATGCCGTCAGAATCCACTTACAAATTTACCTTAAAGGGAAATATCAACTTAGTCCTTTGCATGGAATATGATTTTACATTGACACAGGTGATCACACAAGTTTTATTAAGTAGCACCTAAGAGGGGCATCTACTGAACAAGGAAAAGCCTGCAGGAGCCAGTTCAAACACTGTTGCAACGAGGCCAAATGCCAGCACTCCATCTTCGGGTCATGCCCCTCAGCAGCCCTAAAGTTAGTCTGTATTCTCCTCCACGTTCCTTTACAGCCACACAGAAAAAGGCAGTCAACCTTCCAATAAAGCAGAAAAAGCTGGCTCTAGGCTCCAACCAGAACAGACCCCTCCCTTTACCTGTTGGTACTGAGATCCTGGTGAGTGGGGATATAATGGAGCATCTTCTGGTGGGGGTGACTCATGCTCATCTGGGGCATCTTGGTCATCTGGCTCCTAATTTTATGAGACAGAGAAAAATTAGGCAAATTCAAATTTCTTTTGGCATTTTTATTTGATTTTAGAAACCCCGTCAAAATTTTTTAAATGTTTTCAGAAATCTACAAAAAGTGACCCATCCATCACCCAATTTTCCTATTACTGCAAATAAAGTAATAGGAACGCCCCCCCCCTCCCATTTTGGATTCTTTTAGTAGTACTATTATTCACACAATTTTACAGAAAGTTCCCCCAAAAGGAGGCTCGCTTTAAGTCCCAATTTTAGGACCATTTACAGTAATAAAGCGAACAAAACTGGAACTATATTTTTACACAATTATTACACTACAGAAACACTGGCCTATAAAATAAAGAATTACTTTGCTTTCTTCCATTTCTATCTGCGGCACACTGGTGGCTTTTTTTACCTCCTCTGGACAGAGTTCACAAGCTTTTGCAAGTGTCATCCTAGCACTATGTGATCTCTCCAAGAAATAACCATTTGATGTTTCATTGCTCTGTACTGGAGGAGACCAATTATTATAGGTGTACTGAGGATTGCCAGTGTACGGGCGCCTTTCCAGCTCATCTCCAAGCCATTCCACTGCCCAGGTCCACTTTCTTTTCAGGTCGCCATTGCCCTTCAAAGAAAAGAGAACCAGACACGTAAGAGGACTCAGAGGCTCTTTCAATGTGCACGCAAAATGACAGCCTTCAATTCTCCTAATGTATTTCTTTTACAACAGAACTTCGAATTCCAAGTCCTACAAAATTATTAAAGGGGAAAACATTCAGCCAAATTTAGATATTTAATATCACCATTGTTATAAGGAAAAATAAATAAGAAATGTGGTTTATATACCAATAGACAAGACTTTGAAAATTATGGATAGGTCAAGGATGATGTATGAACAGGAAAAGAGGAGGGTTGGGGGTGTGTGTGGAGGTGAGAAACGGAGGGTGTTTTACACGCACGCATGCGCGCCTTCATGGAAAGGGAATCTGGAGCGGAGGGAACGCTCCAGATTCGCGAGTCCTCAGATTTAAATACTGGTCAGAGTGGCTAAAAAAGGAGGAAAAGTAAAACTGAAGTGGACTTGGGAGTCTTAAAAAAAACAAAAAAACAAACCGCTACCAACAAACCTCTCACCTGTAGGATTTGGTAAGCAACAGGACAATTGCTAAAGAGAGCCACCATACATTTGATACACTGATAGGCCCTTTTTTGATAGTGATTCTTTGAGCGCTGGATTGTATCAAATAGTCCATCACGGTCATCTGGAATTCCTTTAAGTGCGTTATGAATTCTGGCGAAAAAAAGAAAATGAAAAAGAAGATAAAAACAAACCCACCCAATCCTGAACGGTAACTAACATTTATTGAGTGTCCGCCCACTAATACATAACATTCACGAACTGTTTTGCTGTCATTTAGTCTACCCCTCCATGGCAGGGAGCTACAGCTACAAAGCACCGTAGCTGAAGGGAGAATGCATATGAATTGGGTATGCTGCAGTCTGACTCAGCACCTACGGTCTTCCCAAGCTGAAATGTTTTTGTTATGTTGGCCATCTGAATACATTACTGTATTCAGACAGTTTATAGACAATACTGTATACAGGACAGTTTATAGTTCGCCAATAGAGAATTCTGTGAATTCCCATCCTGAGAATACATGGTAGTCATTTTTATTGACAATAGTACAGTTTGGCTGATTTGCCAGATTTCATTTCAGCTTCTGAACAGTACACACAGTCTCTATATTTCCTGTCCTCCACCACTCAATAATCATGAAAACGAATTGTAGGGACAAATATATGTGTTTCTTCTGTGCTTAAAAAAAATCACTTTCCAGCAGTTCTCCTCTTAGGAAGAGAAAGGAAAACAGGTTCAAACAAAAACTTGCACATGAATTATTTGTAGCAGCATTACTGGCAGTAGTAAAATATAGAAACACAAATATTCACTGATAAATGGATAAAACCAAAATGTAGCAGACCATAAAATGGAGTAGTTACTCAGCCAAAAAAGGAATGAAGTATGGACACATGCCAGGAACATAGATATAAACATACTAAGGGAAAGAAGCCAATCACCAAGGATCACAGAATACTATTTTACTAACCAGAACATTGCAATTCAATACCACCACCCCTACCATGTATTACATACATTATATTAAGATGCTTTGTTATAAACTGCTTCCCAATGTCATTTTAAAATCAGTACTTTGTTATTTAGCCTTTCTGGCTACATCCCAGAGGCCTAGCATGTCAATGGCTTCACAAATACTTCAGCAGTATTTGTCATGAGAACTAACATTCACTATGAGAAAAAGATTTTCAACCTTTGGCCTATGATTCATAACAGTTCCATATTAATCTCATTTAATCCAGGAATTTGCCAGCTACCATCATATCTCTTACTCTAATGAAACGAGGTAGCTAAACGGCAACTTAACTGGCTTGAAGCTATAAATAGCTTTTAGTTTTGTTTACAAAAAAACAATGAAGATTCTATTAAAACCAACTCATCAAACCTCAAATCTTATAATTATATTGAAAAGGGTACAGAGTACCTCTTGAAATAAATATTTATAATGGTTATAAGTTGAAAAAAACTAAATTTTGTTTAATAAAAACTAATTTGGGGCATAAAAATCTAGCATTTGCCATCTCAACTAAGACACAAGATTGTAATTTCTCTAAGTACTTTGTGCCTAAGTTTTTGTATTGATTACTGACAGTGGTGAGATAATCTATTATGCAGATTTTAGGCTGTTCACAAAAATCAACCATTATGTGATCATCCAGGTTGGGAGGAAATTTATAAAACCTGGTAACTGTTGGAAACTAATTCTATGATTTATCTTCAACTGTGTAATTCTTAGGATTGAAGATAACTTATTAAGCCTCTATTGCAATAAAAACACTAAGCAGAGACATTCTGGGGAAGTTTAAGGGTCAGTTTAGTTGATCAGCACCTCGGTTAAAAAAAATTAGCACTCATGCTTCATATTATAAGGTACAATTACTTATCTAGGAGCTATTTTTTTAGATAACTAAATGTCACAAGTGATTAATTCTAATAACGAATGGAAGCCTGAAAGTATTTGGGCCATCATGAAGGAAACGCCAGTATTCATGAAAAGTGCACGTTACTTTTCCTTTTAATTAAGGGGAAAAATATCAGTGGAAATAAAAAAATATCCTAGTATGAAAGTTGGGTACTGAAAAAAAAAAGTAAAAGTGTGAGGGAATGGGGAATTTTTACTTTTCTGTAGCCCTCCCACCCCACCCCTTTAAAAATGGCTTTAAAGATAAAGTACAACTGGCAAAGGTAAACTATAGCATGATGTAGTGACCGGTCATTTCAGTGATGACTAGAACTGGGGTGGGTCTGTAATTATTTAAAAGGCTGTTTACCTGTGAGTCTGCCAAGAATCCTCAATCAGCAAGATCTGCAAAAGCAGGTCCAAATAGGGCCGCAGTTCGTAGGTATATGAATATGCAACCTAAAAACAAGTGACACGGTGAAAGACCATTTCTTTAAAGGAAGAGCAAATCAAACTACAAACACAGGAATGGCCTTTAACCTGCCACAGAAGTTCACTGAGGACAGTAGACGAGAACTGAGGATTTTCCCAGCAGCAAAAACGAAGCAACTTGACGGTTTCCTCTGAGTTACTGCAGTCTTCAATGATTTTCTTCACATAACTTGTTCTCACAAACAGAATATCTGCCACATTCTGCTGAATTGGCATTATGGATTGTGATAAATTGGGATCGCCAAAAGGATTAGGAAGGGGAGGATTACCTAGAATATAAATTTGTCACCAATGAACAACAAACAGATAGGCAGAAACACTATAATCACACACAACTTTTACCAAAGAAAATAACTTACAAATTTTTGTTCTAGGAAAACAAATTTGAATTGCTACCTAAGCACAGTGTAGAAATTAGTATTAGACATTACAATAACCAGGTATAACAAGATAAAATGTAAACTTTAAATACAGATACTGACATTTAATGAGTTAAAAGGATGAAAACTCGAACTACTTCATGAACAAGGTGTGAACCTCAAAAGCAAGTAGGTAAAGAGCCCTTTGAACATGTAGTAAGTGAAAGGACCCAAAATATTACACAGTACTTCAAAGTGTGGACTGTAAAACTCTTGTCTGGGATTTAAGCATTTCTAGAGTTACCATATATACTCGTGTATAAGCCAAGTTTTCCAGCACATTTTTAATGCAGTTTTTGTGGTACAATTAGGTGCCTCGGCTGATATTAAGGTCGGCTTATACTCGAGCACATACAGGTACTTTTAGTCAGATACTACAGGAGGAGGGTCCAAACAGTTCGTGGACAAATGGAATTGAAAGCTATGCTTAGAAGTATTTAAAAACTGTAGAGATGAAACATGTTATATTTACCATTGATTGAAGACTGCATTCTTGATGAGACATTGCAACAGCGGATCAGCTGTGACACTACCGAGTATAACTTGCCTAATTCAGCATATTGATATTTGATCGGAGGGCCTGGTCCTTCATCTAAAGATACCAGCATAAAGGTAGCAGGTACACTCAATTTCAGAAGCTGTGTCTTTTCTGCCACACCTTCAATAGGCATGAGGAGAGAGGAAAAAATTAAGTGGGCATGAAGCTTCATTAATAAAGGAGTTGTCCAAAATATTTGTATGTTATTGTCATCAAAAGTGTTAACAGTTTTGCTTTAGTACGCAGAGCATTGCTTTCCCAAACAAAAAGTGGACTGACTTGGTATAATTAGATTTCAGTACTGTAATGGTTAACTTATAATCATGACTGTGATCCCGTAATGCTGGATTCATATGGAAGGATCTATCCTGTGGCCTGTAGAGTGTAGTGGCTTAGCATAGCCTACAACTGAGTTTTTTGTAAGATAAAAGGACGAAAACAACATAATCAAGTGAGAAATCATTCTTTCATTAACTAGGCAACTTGCTTCAATAGCCAAAATTGATGCTTAAACTTTATCACTTTACTTTTTCATTTTCCTACTCCTTCAAACCTATGTCTGTTTTCTGCCCCAACTTTCTTGGGGTAAAGCTAAGGACAGAACAGATTTCAAATTCTAACCACTTCCTATACCTCCTTTTTATTTTCTACCTTTTCTCTTTAGCCTGTCCCCCTAGTTTCAAACTGATGCTTCCCAAAGTTCTATGTCAGTCTTCTCCCCATGTCTTTAACCCTCACAAAATGATTGGGTGGTACTATGCAAATAGGGCATGTGCAGCACAAAGAAGTAGGGATTGGTCAGTTTTCATCAACACCGCCTTGGCTATAAGGATGAATCATCTTTGAAGCAGGAGCAGAGAGAGAGAGAGAGAGAGACTATGGGGTATACCTTATCCTCAACTGGCTGAGACTATGGAACTGGGGACAAGGGCGACAGGTGGGCTGGCTTCCTGGCTCACAGAGGCACTGCTGTGGACAAAAGACTACCTAATACCTTTACTGTTTATGGCTCCTGACCTGTGGTAACGTATTGGCTTCTCTAATAATCTCCTATTGTGAGGTGGGGAAGGAAATCCCTATCCCAGGCTATCTTTTCACACGTTATGCAACCTTACATCAAAGTGAAAACAGAATTAAAAATCTACTCATCCAAGGAAACATTTACCCAGGTTAAATGCTACTGTGAAAACTGCTGATCCTTGAGATCCAGTTGGGAAGCAACACAAAACTCTAAACACTATCAAAACAGAGGAAATCTAGGACAGGGTAAGTTCATTTGTATGTTAGCATTATAGAACCATCTAAGAGAAATGATCAGGTGATGTTAGAAAGAAAAGACTACTCTGAGGAATGTTGCTGAATTCACACATAGCAGATATTAATTAACAGTGTCTTTCTTAAGGGAATATGTATATTATCACTAATTTTAATTTCATTTACCCCACCAAAATGGTACAAAGTTGGTATCACAAGCATCTGGGGCATCTTTTGAAAATATGGATTCCTCGTGCTACGCACCCTTGAGAATTCATATTCAGCTAGAAGCAGTATTTTCAAAAATCAGCCAGAAAAACCAAGAATAAGACAGAAGATTCTGAGTAGTATAGACATGTATATAAGTAAGTACTGATGTACAAGGTTAAAGTACCATTGCATAGGTTGAGATAAAACCCATAAGAGGTTTTATGGAGTATCGTTTCTACTTTAGCCAAATTACATTTCAACATTTGACCTAAATGACTTCACCACATCACATAAAGTAACAAAATCAATATATAAAGATAAAATTATGGAGACTTGCGTTCTTACCTAAATTGGCATACATCACAAACAGGTTGAAATATTGTTGTAAATGACGCCCATGCTCTGAAACTTCCCTTCTCAGGAGATTTAGTACTGCTCTTAATAAGTGATCACTCAAGCTTAAGTTATCGTAAGCCTATAAAAGACACAATGTTATTTTGCCCCCACCGCAGCAAAAGGTGTAACTTTTTTAATGCTACAAAAATCATACAAATCTTTAATAAACTCAAAACTATAGATCTTAATTTGTATTAAAATAGAATATGAACATGTAAGTTGAATACAGGTAGACATTTCTGGAGGATTGTTTATGTAAGAACTAGTAAAAGAGTTGCTTTGTGGAAGAGGCAATACTGTTAATTGCAAATTTCATTAAAATTTTTTTTTTACTCTACTAAGTAAATTTACCCATTGGAAAACAGGCTGTGTAATTACCTGACTAGAAGGTCCAGGAGATGCAAAAGGTGAAGGACAAGGTCCATCTTGCAAGGAAAAATGTGCAATAAAAACTATCAGTTTTGCAAATGCCCCCCTCACTTCTGCACTGGGGCACTCCAGAAGGTATTCAGAGAAACGATTGGAAACATTAAAAAGAACGTTATGGGCAAACCAAAAACGTACATTCTTGCTGTGACGAAGTAGGATGCACAGTGCATCATACCTAAAACAGAAAACAACAAAACCAACATCGATCAATGCTGTAACCTGCACTCCACAGGTAATAAATGGGTCTGGAAACCAAATACCTTGTTCTATATTTTCATATCTCCTTTTTGTAATAGTTTACTTCAGGATGAACAGAATCATTAAGTCAAGGTTATTATAATGGTGTCTACACCTTTAACACCATTAGAAAATAAAGAAAACCATATCTATGAAAGATGAAACAATAATTTCATAATTAAGAGGCTCATATTTTTAAGTCTCATCTTGTTATTTTATGCCTAATTGATTTCAAAGATATGATCCAGGTAACAGAACCCAGCTTCTAAATAATAAAAGGTCATGCTTTAACTAGTTTAATATGATTCCATCCCACTACTGCTACTAAGAGTATCCTATTCTGTGTTTCAGATTCTCATGGTTTGTGTATGATTCCAATTAAACGGAATTCTGGAAAAGGTAAAACTATAAGGAATGGAAGATCAGTGGTTTCCAGGGACAACAACGGAGCAGGAAGGAATGAATAGGCGTGCAGCACAGGGCATTTTTTGACCAGCGAAATGATTCTGTATGCTACTGTAATGGCAGACACCAACAGTAAACGTTTGTCACAACCCATTGTTGAACTGTGAAACACTAATGTGAACTATGGGCGTTAACAATGGTGTATCCATACTGCTCTACCAGTTGTGCCACAGGAAATAAGATGTTAACAGGAGAAATTGTGTGCACCAGGGAGGGAGAGGGAGAGTATGTGAGACCATGGAACTTAACGCAAAATTTTTCTTAAAACTAACATTGCTATTAAAAAAAACCTATTAAAAATACATTCACGCACATAACATAAAGTTGCTTCTAAGGGATCAAATTGTCAGTACATTATGAATAAAACCCAAAGCTATGTACCAATCACTGGCAGAACCACGAACTATTTTCTTTGTGTGAAATCCTGTGGTAAAGAGGAATCTAGCAGCAAGCTGAATACTAATCATAGTGATTTCTTCTGCTTCAGGCAACAGGTGATCTTGTCCTATAAATAAAATTCAGATATTAAAAAACAAAAACAACCCCCCCCCAACAAACGTCTATAATTTAAACCCATTTTCAGACAGGTCTGCATTTGTCCTCAGTTTATTAAAACGCCCTCCTCTCAGGCGATTAATGTCACAATTCTTGTAGCAGCTCACTGAACCATGTTGGAAACAAGTGTTAGAATCAAAAATTGTTAAATTTTACAAAAGCTTGTTTCCAGTGAGTAAATATAGTGTCAGAAGTAACCCCCCTCCCTCCCCTTAAGTGTGACTTTAATATTAATCCTAAGTAAAAGTTTAGATTCATTTAAAATCAGAATAATTTTATCAACTTCAGTTGGGGGAGGCGGGGGGAGTTGATGCCCGCTATAAAAAAATCTTACAAATTAAGAGCAAAGCGAAATTCTAGATTCTTACCTGGAGGAGGATTTAAGTAAACACCATTACATGTAAGTAGTTTTTTCATGAACTGGAAATACTCTAAACTATACTGCATTCGATTATGCATGAATTGCACATTCTGTTTCCGTACACTTCTCTCAATGGCCGATGGCATAACAATCTGATGGGGTCTTGTGGTGATAGCAAGTTCTGATATATATCTTATCAACTCATCGTCTTTGTCTATTGTGTCCATTCGTTCATAAAAAAGTATGTAAGCATTCCACCACCTTTTCTGACGTCTGTATGACATACGCTTCATCATGTGATCAAACACTTCTCCCATGTATTCGCCACCAAAACACTGGTTTTTCATCTCTTCGTCATCATCCATTTTGCACTCGGTTACATCTCCATCATCAAATTTGTACCACCGATTTCGCTCACCGTCTCCACCATTCCTCTGAATGATGTAAGAATAATAATGTCCGCCGCTTGCCTGACCACTATGAACAAGCACGCCCACAAGCCTGTATTTTGTGCTTCCTGCTGTCTCACTTTCAGACTGCTCATTCTGTTGTATCAACTGACTCTCTGGGTTTACATTATCTCCTTCCAGCTTTGCAACACCGGCAACAGTGTAAGGTTCCATGTCTAGCTCTCGAGGAAATTCAAAATAGTCATTGAACTTGATTGCACATTCTCTTTCCCAGTCATAGTCAAATCGTTTTAATTGGATAGCAAGAACAGGAGGTAATTTTTTAATTAATAAGCGCTTTACAGTATCAACCTATAACAAAGAGAGAAAGTTACTAGTCTTTTAAAATTATTATATATATAATATGTACATTACTATATATAAACACCAAACCTTTAAATTATGTTTATGAGTTCTCGGACATTATTTATGTGTAAACAAATACATGGTAGAATACAATCAAGGTCTGCGTCAATACAGATTACAGACAGAACAACCCTATGGGAGAGCTCTCTTTTGACATATAGGGTGCTCTGAGTTGCAAGTGACTTGATGGCAACCAATAACAAATCTAAAAACAAAGAAATGGTCTATGACATTTGTTACAGATTAACTGAAAAATCAAACTGTGATACTATATATTTTATAAAATTTATAATATTTAACATTATACAACATTTGAGATATTGGGTTCGACGTATTATAAGGGTTGTTTGGATCGATCAGTATGACAATTTCCGCTGCATCGATTGTCTTTTACATCTGATGTTTATTTTCTAAGAACTTTTGTACTATGTTTATATTTATCACTGAAGTAATGCTTTCATGAATGAAACAGATTTGGGTCACAATGAGGTGTATCCATAAAAGTCGGCATAAATGGTAGGAGTAAATGTAAACAGTCTCTGGAAATTTCATTGAGGAAATCAAAGTGCAATAAAATGACGTGTCCCATAAACCTTGTGTTAAGAATGAGGATTAGTAGTCACAGATATTAAGCATCAGAGCTACGGGTGGCAAGAAGTATGGCTGGACAGTCTCTAGACTTTAACACCTCCCTAAGTGATTCATAAGGTCAAAACCACCCAGGTGACTTGGGAGTCCAGAAAGATAGGACTATTTGTGAGTACACATTAAGATATATAGTGTATATATGGATATGTGTGAACTGTCTCACCAAAGTTGTTAAGTTCCCACAGATAAAAATTTCCAATGCGACTGAGTTGATTTTGAGTCAAATTGACCCAATATGGGTTTCCCATGGCAATCAATCTTTCTTTTGAAGATAAAACAAATTAGGTTTGCTCTAAAAACCTGATCCAAGTAGTAGAAGAAATCTTACATGGCCAAATAAAGTAATTAACAGTGTGAGAGAACTTCTTGAAGAGTAACCAGGAATGGGAGAGAAAGGTTTTCCACTCTCAGCTCTGTAGTTTCAAGGAGGATGGACTTAATAGCAGTTTGTTTCGGGGCTGGGATGGAAAGTGCGTATCCCAGAGACAAGAGAATGTGAGATTAAACTGCTAGGGCTTCTAAAACTATTCACTCTATTTACCCGTTTGTCCTAGTCCCTCTGGTACTTTCTTTCTGTGACAAACCTGTCAGTCAGTTATCTATTATTTTGACTATCTTTCTGCTAGCAGAAAAACAAAATAGGTGGTGGGGGATAAAAACAGAAGGTCAATTTTGAGAATGGATGAAAACAAATAGCTTCTTCCAAACCCTTTAAATATAATCATAATTATTTTCAGTAAAATTGGACAATCCATACCTTTTTATTGCATTTTTCACAATGATAGGCATTTGCACCTTCTAATAAATCTCCTTTGACATACTGCTCCAAAGAATCAAGAAGGTTTTGGTGATTTCTAATGTCTACATTCAGAGTCGTAAAAGATTCCTCACACTCGTACCTAAAGGTATAAAGAAATGATCAAAGGGATCGAAGGATTACCATGTTGAGATTCCCGAACATTTTATGTAGTTGTGAATGCAATGGCAAGTACACTTGCGATCTGAATTATAAAATACAAGACACATAGAATATTGTCACTTTATTAGTCACCTACAGGGTATTTATCGGTCATTTGCTATATGATGGATACATTAGGTTGTTACCCACTATATACTCATTATGTCATAGCTTAGACAGCTGTAGAAAATATGATCTTATGTGTGTTTATCTTGTGAAAAAGGGTTGGGAAAAAAAAAAATCAACCCTTTGTACTGTATTAATAATACAATTATCAGTGGTATCCTTAAGTCATTTCTCTAGAAATTATTACTCCAGACTTAAAATTTCCTGAAATTTAAATGCATTTAAAATATTAGTTCTAAGTTAAAAGTCAAGATTTTAAGTAATAACTATAAATATATTCACTGCCATTGAGCCAATTCTGAGTCACAGAGAACCTGTAGGACAGAGTGAAACTGTCCCTGTGAGTTCTGGAGACAGTAACTCTTTACAGGAGTAGAAAACCTTTTCTCCCATAGAGCAGTTGGTGTTTTTGAACTACTGACCTTGCAGTTAGAGCCCAACACTAAGCCAGCAGGTCTCCTTAACAGCTATAGTTATATGCAAAATGCCATTTTATTTCCCCAGGAATGACGATACCAAAAGCCCAAGCAACCCTCTTCTCCCTCCACAGTACAAAGGATGTATAGTACATAATTTATTCATAGTCTCAGGTTATTTAGTAATCAGTGGCACAATTCTACTTCTGTACTAAAAGTACTAGTGACAATTTTATTTTAAATTTATTTTTAAAATCATTTTATTTGGGGCTCATATAATCCTTGTCACAATCCATACATACATCCATTGTGTCAAGCACATCTGTACATTTGTTGCCATCATCATTCTCAAAAGACAATTTTATTTTTGATGGTAAAAAAAAGTACAGTTGATACCTTAAATATATATGCTCATTAGCACTTACCGATGTGGACAGCCTTGACAAATCTTCTGATCAGCAAAGGAACCTCCTAAGACTTTACTTAGCATAGCTGGATGTCCTAAGGCTTTTAAAGCTTCATCTAAACTATCCACCAATGAATTAAAAAATTCTAAAGCATCATGTTGTTCCCGTAGATTAACAGGTTCACCCCAAAGCCTAAAGGAGGAAAATTAAATATGTAACTTGTGACATTTCCAGAAGAGCATATATATTTTTCAGGGAGTAGGGAGTAGCAGCCACAAATAAATGACAGTATATAAATTGAGATTGTTCTAAACATGTTTGAAATGGTCCTGAGAAAGTTTTTCATAAAACATCTATGAAGTAAATCTCATGTAGATGAATAAACTTGCATATGGGGTTGGATGTCAAAGTATATTATTTATGAAGCAATTTGCTTCATTAATGGAAGTGAGACCAGTACATTCTGTTTATATAGTCAACTCGCCATGAATGAGCTGTTCATTTTAAAGGGAGAAAGCTACCTTCACAATGGAGGAATGTTAGAAACCAAGGATGAGCTACGATCACCAATTAATCACTCCAAGTGACAGTACCTGGCTCCTAACACCATGTAACAGGACGTATAGAGAGAGCATCGATTACGTAGTTTCCTCTGGCCAAAGAATGTTTCAAAGAATATTTCAGGATGAAATACACAAACTCAGAAATTATTAACATTTTTCTAAAGACAACTAGCATGAACTCTTAAAAAAAAAAAAAAAAAAGGTTTCCAAATGTTCGTAGGGAAATTTAATTATCTTTCACGCTATTATTCCATGAACTTTTGGAAGCATTTATGGGTGAAGTGTTACATCTTTGCAACTTATCATCAACTATAAAACGAAACAAATACCCAAAACCTAATCAACACATGAAAAGATTAGCAAACGTGATAAAATGCTTACAATGGATAAATCTGAGTAGAGTATGAGAAAAAATATAAAGGTGATCATAATACCTCTTTTTTCATATTTTCAGCAGACCTTCAAAGTTCTCTAATCAAAAAATTAGGTGCGTGTGTGGGGAGTGTCCAATGACAAACATTTATCTAGAGTATATTTTACATCTAAAGTTTGGTTAATACTAAAATGCCTGTGTAGACAAATTGTGACATCCAAGAACGTAAGCAACATCTACTTTGAGAAGTCAGATACAAATGCATTACTAAAAGAGAGTAATAATATATACAGTTGAGATAGGCTAAATCGAATCCTCATTGTACAAATTGAACGAGACAGGGGGAAAAGGAAAAAAAACCTAGAATAGTCAGAGGGGGAGGCAAGGGGTATGCCAGGTGATGGCACGAAAAGAATGATTGGTATATGCAAGCCATTCCTATGAATTAAATAGAGGCCTAGTTAAGGGAATAACAGAATTTATACTGTGAGCCTTAAGGGGGAATCATCATATTATACAAGTACTGGTTTCAAAAGAAATCTAAGTATCCCTACAGATAAAAGGGGAACTGCTCTGATTAAAGCAAGGATGATGGGCTTGAGTTTCAGGTGACTTTTTGTTCCCCTCCCTTTAGCTGTCTGAGAATTACCTTGTTGAGAAATTATAAGGAGTATTAATTAAAAAGCCACTGCCATTAAGGATTACATTCCTTTATACACAGCAGAGAATTATCCTATTCTATTATGGTATTTTTGCACACTGCAATAGACACTGGTTAAAAAACAACAACAATGGAATACAAGTCAAAGAAAAAAAAGATCCAGATGTAAAGTCCTAAGTCACTTGCGTGAATGTTAGGAAACCAATGATTATTTTGTAAAGTGAAAAAGGAAGAGGAAAAAAGCATATGTACTTCGTTTCCTGTAAAACATTATATTAGGGTGAGGAAGTTTTTCTTCTAAGGCCTGTTCTAGTTAGTAAGTTCAAATAACGAAAATATCAGAACACTGTCATCATGTAACCTTGACAAAAGACAGGATATGTAGGTAATAATGTCCAATGGCTATTAACACCCTAAGAAGAGCCACTTAGGAACCTGCTGCACTCATGGCAGCAAACAGTAGCAACCATGAAGCCGTCTTGCCTATCCATTCCAAAACAGAAAAGCAATGCCCACATCTACTCAAGCCTTGAGATCTCAGAACCTATAAACAGGAAATGAGGGAAACTGGGTAAATAAGTAAATACTAAAATACCAATGATGTAAACCACCCAAATGCAGGATGGGTACATATGTGAACAGATGGGGAATGCATTTGGGGGTGTGTGTGGTGTGTGTGTGTGTGTGTGTAGTAAAGAATTGGGATGGTGATGCTTTATAGAACAAGAAAAATACCCCCAAACTAAATCCATCGCCATGGAGTTATCCAGACTCTTAGTGACCCTACAGGATAGAAGTAGAACTGCCCCACAGGGTTTCTAAGATGGAAATTATTCTTCGGTGGAGTGGCTGATGGCTCAAACGATCGACCCTTCAATTTGCTGTTGAGTGCTTTAACAACTGCATCACCAGGGCCTGGTTTTAACAGGGTTGGAGGGATGAAATTAAAGGCGACTCATTTGGATCAAGATTTTTTAAAAAGCAGAGTAAAAGAATAACACTGCGACTGTTGGACATTGAGAGGGATACTGAATATCAAGACATTTTTAAGATAGGATAAAGAACATTGGGTAACATTTTATAACACACATGAGATACATATACTCATATATTTATGGATGAAATTATGTCTGGAATTTACTTCAGAACAATCTGGCAAGAAGGAGGTGGGAATAAAGACTAAACAAGATTGACCACAACTGTGCTGTGCTGAAGTATACTCTACTTTTGTATGTGTATGTTTTCCATTATAAAAACTTATACCAAGAGACAACTACAGAATGCTGTGACAACTTCCACCGCTTCCTGTGGGGGGTAATGTGAAGGAAAACCCCAAGTATCGTCTGAAGAGTTAAATACCCGTTACCTGAACTGCTTCCAAAAGCCTCTGGGTACATAATACTGCAGTCGAGAAGCAGCTAGATGGCCAAAGATGACTTGGAGGTGGCGGAGAACACCGATATTGTACTCCTTCCGATCTTCTGTTTTACTTAATGCTGCTTTGTCTTCAAACTGTTGAGGATACCCAAAGACATCGTCTCTGGGGTCGACATTGCTCTGGAAAGAAACAACAAAGAAGCCCACAACTGTCAGTAACGAACTACACCATAACTTTCCAAGTAGCTACCCAAACCTGACTATTCCATAGCTGTATTCCGCACTGGACACAAATTTCCCACAAGACCACATCACAACATTTAAAGTATAAAGTTTGTTTCTTAAGCCAAGAATAGCTAACGTCTAAGTTACTTTAGTAACCAAAAAGCACAGATAATAAAACTGACAATGTGTACTGGCATAAATGAATAAAATGTGGGGTTGAAATATTAAGTATTAAAGTAGATACAGACACACGATATTTAAAATGGAGATTAACATTACACAAACCCCAAATTTTACTGAACCCTTTCTCATATAAAACATGATAAATACATTAACTATGTTTTAAAGACAAACTGTCAGAAAAATCAACCACAGTTTAAAGTCTGATTGATAGACAGTAAGCAATATACTATGCCAAGAAGTTAACAAACCCACTGAGAGATTCCAGCCCTACTTTCAAACACATCTCAAGAGGCTTGATAAAAAATATGATACTCTTAAGAATGCACAATATTTGGTATCAGAATGTTTGAAAGGACAGGAAACAGAAATAATTAAAACTTACCTCATTGTCCTGCTTTTCATCTCCAGACATGTCATCATCCACATCACTACCTGTGCCTTCAATTGCAAGAATGCCATTCCTGATCGAAGGAATCATGTATAGTTGCTGAATCACAGAGTTCATGTAGCAAGTAGCACCGGCATTTTTCAGTCCCACAAATCCTTTTGGTGGGCGGGGTCCAACAGGTGGCAGATATTCCCACTCAGTAAGTGCTTCACAGGCTAAGATGACAAAAGATGGGAGTATGAATGCAATCATTGTGTCCACTTGCAGCTCCACTAGACTGTTAAATTAACATTGGCACAATTCCACCACCCTTATAGTCACTTTGAAATAGGCTCCAAGTTTTCATCTCACCTTCAACTAATCTAAGACAAACAGTAACATGCCCACCTGAACAGTCTTATGCTACCACTCAGGAACCCACGAATTCTCAAATGTGCATCTAGGATGCTTTGACTTAGAAGCTGTCATAAAGGGTAACTACCAATTTCTATGTGGTAATTTTAGTTGCAGCTTTATTTTTCAAACATTCTTTATATTCTTTATAATTTCTCAAAGTGTTTTTAAAGTGCCTTCAAATTCAAATGAACTTCACATCAACACATCACAATTCACTTTTGGTTACATAATCTTCCTGTCGTGGTTCTCATGTTTAGAACACTAGCTTTCAGGTGAGTGTGTTTCTTTCCCATTATATGCAACAGAGTGAGTACACTTGCTTTGCCTATACCAACGGTTCTCAACCCATGGGTCACAACTCCTTGGGGGGGGGGGGCAAATGACCCTTTCCCAGGGGTCACCCAATTCACAACAGTAGCAAAATGACAGTTATGAAGTAGCCACGAAAATCACTGTATGGTGGAGGGTCACCACAACATGAGGAACTGTAAGAAAGTGCCGAGGCATTTAGGAAGGTTGAGAACCACTGGTCTATACCTAAAGATTTGAGAGCTCTGTGAGAATCACTTTCTAGGCATACAGGCAGTCCCTAACTTATGGGACTCCAGTTTGTCTGACGCTAGTTGAATTTGAATGCCCTAAAAATATATATGTCTCCCCTGATTACTGCTTTTTATTATCACTATATACCTAATCTTCATTCGTCTTTGGGGAGTGGGATATTACATATAAACATACAAATATATTTTAACATTCTGTGTAGTAGCTATCACTAACAATACAGTGTAAAAGCAAAAACCAACAGTCAAAAAGCAATTTGCTGTAATGTGCTTATGCTGCAAGTCAGGGACTACCTGCATCTCCATGTAGACGTGGTATAGTAATAAGAAAAGCTGAGGCTCTAAGAGGAAAGGCATCTAAAATGAGCAGGAAAGCCCACTTATTCGTTTATAATACCTGTGTTAGCACTTTTAACATGCAAGTATACCACATGAAAAAACAAATCGCAGGGGGAAAAAAATCCCACTAAGTTAAACCAACAAAGCTCATTATATGTAGATTTAATAGAATAAATAACAATCTAACCTTTTAAGAAGTCAATTTAATTGACAACTCCTAAAATGTCAAGAAAATCTTCCTCAAATTGATGTTATCAAAATATAATTTTTTAATTAAAAATTGACATATCAATTATCTCCTTAAGCTTTTTAGTTATCGCTAAAAACAGCCATGGTTGTGCTGACTTTTCCCTTTAATTATTGGACCTCCAACAGTACCTTATCTCTAAGATCAGGAAACAAGAGCCCGTTTCATGGGTTTGATATAGGTGCACCACCTGAAGCATAAATAAAGTGCACCAAAACGTTATGCCTCAGTCTAACCTGCAGAAACCGAATTTTTTAAAGCACACATGAAAAGAACATTACATAATTTTTCAGTGAGGGCTTCAAAGATTTTGCAGTACATGCAAAGTTTTGCAATTTGCATTTTATGTTTGAATACTATGTTGCACCTTATTTTGAGTACTTCTTACACTCTCGACTTTGGACTTAATTTCAGATGGGATATCTTGCCAAACATTTGAACTTGCTATGGGAAGCCATTTAACAAACATTTGAAAAATGTCCCTTATTAAGGCTTTCTGCATACAGTAGTCTTAATTATACATCCATTCGTTTAAAAATGTATTATGCTAAAATAAAAACCAAGCTAAAGATGTTAGTAAAAGAAAAATAGACTTTGAAACATGAAAATTATTTCCAATCTCCAAAAACAATTTAACTTGTAATTTAAAATACTTACTAGTTATGGCCGTGCCAATGTAATACATTTCCGTTAAAGAGTCTACAATCTGTTTGAGATTCCTCATACAGCCAACAGCTAATGCTACCAGTAACTCAAAACCTGCATTAATGGTAGCTGGTGAACTACAGACTGGAATAGCCTGCTCAGCAGGCAATTCTCCATTTCTCATATACTGCAGGTAAACGTTGGATGCAGGAAAGATGAAATCATCAATTAACTCCTAAAGAATTGGAAGAAAGGATAGCATAATGGCAATAATTTTACAATTGTCAAGATCTCAGTATATCTCAGAAAATCTGGAATTCCTTAAAAAAAAAAAACTTATGCCAAAGCAATATTTACCCAAGCAATATTTACAATTAAAAATGAGTCGACTGTACTAAGAAAAAAAAATCTATTCTAAATACATTTATGTCTTCAAATGTATACCAAAATTAACTCATTTTGAATAAAAATAAAACTTACTGAAATATTTTGTTTCCTTGAGTTACCACATATGTGCAGAAATTCATTAAGTAAACATAATATATACAGTCATGTCACTACCGGCTTATTCACAATAATGTGATGAGATAGCTTATTTCATCAACCGATGGGGGAAAAAAAAAATCACACCACGGTACAAAATGGTCTATTATACATGATGTGGATGAACCTGGAGGAGACGTTATGCTGAATGAAATCAGTGAAACACAAAAAGATAAATACCGTCTGGGAGGATGGGGTGGAAAGGGGGAACCAATTACAAGGACCTACATATAACCTCCTCCCTGGGGGACGGACAACAGAAAAGTGGGTGAAGGGAGATGTCGGACAGTGCGAGATATGACAAAATAATAATAATTTATAAATTGTGGGGGAGGGGGGAGCAGGGAGGAAGGGGAAAATGAGGAGCTGATGCCAGGGGCTTAGGTGGAGAGCAAATGTTTTGAGAATGATGAGGGCAATGAATATACAATTGTGCTTTACACAATTGATGTATGTATGGATTGTGATGAGTTGTATGAGCCCCTAATAAAACGATTTAAAAAAAAAAAGGATAAATATCACACGAGAGCACTACTCTAAAAACACAAGAAAAAGTTTACAAACAGAAAGAAACCTTTGAAGGTTACCATGGGTGGAAAAAGGGTGACAGATAGGAAACCACTAATTAGAGGTAGATGTGCACTAAAAAGAGACAGGCAAGCAAATGACTCAAGCTAAGACTGACACTGGAAGGAACACAAGTACAGGCAACAAAGATAAATACCATCACACACAGAATCCTGCAGTAACAGTGAGAACAATGATCTACAAACGGATTCACACATTGGCAGTGCACGTGGGGGCAAGGGAAAAGGAAACCAACCAATTTGCATTAACATAGTCTTCAAAGACAAAGTTCTATTTTGATGTGACTGGGGTTTAAAAGTTTGTGAATGGACATTTATGTGTCCTGACCGAGAGAAAAGAAAAATTGATGAAAACGAGACTCAAGGTAACAATTAGTCCCACATCCTCAAGCCCGACCAGACAAACTAGATGATGCCTAGTAATTATCAATGATGAATGCCATGAAAGGTACTGCAGCAGAGGGAGAGAAAACTATGCAACTCAAATCTAAAACAATAAAATCTGACGGCGATTGTGGAACTGTGAGACACTCTTCTATTTCGGACTGGAGCTGAACGCACCCGTGGTTCAACTTTCAGACCAGCCTGTAAGGTGAATCTGCATGCTTTACAGGACGTCAAAGAACGGCCTTTCCCCAGGGGCAGAGCTCCAGAAGCAGGGAAAGAGGAGAAATAAGAAAGGAGATGGTACACACAGGGTGCTCTTACACTGGGAGAATGGAACTCAATGCCAAACACAACTGTGTAATCATGGTTGAATAGAAAACCAATTTGCCTTAACTTTCATCCAAAGCACAGTAAGTTAAATGACAAAACAGTATACATACAATCTTGCAAAATAAAGGTCTGTTGACAGCATTTAGAGTAGTCTGCTGTAGTAAAAAATTTTTATTTTCAAAATAAAATTTAATGCTTACTTTACAAAATGATTTACGCTGCAATTTTCTTCATTTACAAAATTTAGAAATTTCTCCTAAAGTCATAGCTACACTTTAACCTTCATTAATAAGAGAAAAAATTTTAAACTAAGTAGGAAAAAGCGTAAGGTAACATAGTAAAGATATCACATAAATCAAAACCCACTGGTAGTGAGTCAATTCAGACTCAACTACTCTATGGTATCCAAGGCTATTCATTTTTACAGGAACGAGATAACCTCCCTTGGTGGTATACTACTTATACCTTGGGCTATGGTCTGCATGGTCAGCAGTTCAAAATCATCAGTAGTTCCCTGAAACAGACTGGGCTTTCTACAGTTATAGCCTCAGAAAATCCATAGGGGTACACTTTGAGTCAACACCGATTCCATGGGGCAGTTAGTGAGTTAGAAGATAACCTCATTTTTCTCCGGTGGAGTACCTTCTGGGTTTGAACCATTGTCATTGTGGTTAGCAGCTCAACACTTAACCGAGCACCACCAGGGAGGCTTAAAGACACTATGGATTACTCAGACAGAAGTGCTAAACTAATGAATACTCAGAAGCCTGTTACCTATGTAGGGACCAAGGAGATAGAACTTACTTTGATGAGATTAGCACCTCCTTTTTCACAACCAATATGATATTTTTTCTCAGGAGTTTGAAAGGCCAGTAACTCTTTTGTCACCCCAAGGTGGCCTTCTAAGATGGTTTCTTCAACACCTGTCTCACCTGTTCTTTTAACATCATCCTGCCAAAGGAAAACAAAACAATCAAACGCTAACTTATGAACCAGAGATGAGAATCAAGAAAAAAAAGCTGAAGAGATGTAAAATCTCAAGAGATAATTCCCACAAACAGTTCCATAAATGCAAGTTTACTTTTTCTTCAGAATTCTCTAGAAGTAGGATTTAACAACTCTAAGAAGTGCTAATTTGAAGGCTAAATGCTATAAAACTCCTCAGAAATAAATTCTCATACAACTCTTAATAATCAAATGGAAGAACATTAGCACTTGAAGTTTCAAGTAAATTAAGAATTACTACAAAGCTAAATATACCCTCATTCTATGAATCGTGAGTTACTTATACCCATCAATGAATAGTAGTATATTTTTTGTTTTACCAAAACACATAAACCTGTAAACCCTGTATTATATATACTAGTTACACAAAAAACCTCTGTATTTATTAACTATATATGGAAAGCACAGTATTAACAGCAACTTACCCTAATTCTTTTAAGCCAATCAATTTCATTGTTGAGAAGAACTTCAGCATTGTGCACATTTATATTACTATTGTAAGCATAATTAAGAAGGTGCCTTAAAAGAGTGAAGTAGTCGCCGGAATGTTTAGCTCTCTCTCTGGCAGTGCTCTAAAATCATAAAAGCAAACACATTAATTCACAAGTCTTGTTTAGAATCCATTTCATTAAAAAAAATTGTGTTTACTAGAACAAATGAAAAAAATAGTGTGGGAAATTACCAATGTTTTATTAAACAGATAGGTTCAGATCTAATTTTAATACAAGTCCAAACCATAAATTCATGAATGCTGTTTAAAGAATAAATTACACTGTTAAGTTTATTATAGAATATCTCACCCCCAAAACGGTAAACAGCAAAGTAATGAAGAAAAGCAGAGGCCTGTGTCCCATGCAGCATCTTGTGCACATCAGAAAGAATTGCTCCTGTGCCACCTGCCGGACAGTTCTGAAATAAAACATTTCATATTTGTCATTTTCATCAAAGGAGTTGGAGATTAAATTGTTAAAATAAATAAGTAAACCTAAGTGTGCAGAGCTGTCAATAAATAATAAATGTATGCTGTATGTTGAACACCTTCAAATTGCCATGGAAGAGTTCTAGGAATTTCTGAGTTGGTCAAACAATTTGACTCTTTTAACAAGCAATGTGAACAGCACTGGGGCTTGACCTGGACCAGGCTAAACGCAGGAATGGGGAAAAAGAGCATAATAAGCCTGTAGGGTTTTCTTGGGGGGTGGGGGGGGTGGAGTACCCTCTTATATTCCTCTCTTGGAAGTCTGGAAATGCTCTTGCAGACTCCATTAAACCAATCCTTGCTTGAAATACCCATCATGCTCACACTTGGGTTTTTCCTTTGTACAATTTGCCATAAAATCATTAGCAACTTTTATATTAATTTATGAAAAACAAATTTAAGGAGGAAAATCCACTCTAAAGTTAAAAGCTTGAATGGAGGTAGTGTGTGACTGTGTGTTAAAGGAACAAGTACATCTTTCAGAGACTGGAACATCTTTGTAGCCCTAACATGAACAGGTGCCTGAAGTCAGTCTTTTTTTGACAGTTCTTAACAAGATTTTGAGATTAATTTTAATAAGTGGTAGGTTAAATAACAAACTCCTAACTTCAATTTATTAGATTCTCTCAAACTTAAGCCCAGAAAACTCTCTTCTAATACTAAATGCTCTCTTCTAAAACTAAGCTTCGTCTAAAACTAAATCATCTTCTAATGCTCTCCTCTAAAACTAAGCTTCTAACGCTTGATATGTATATGACCCACGACTGGGTTCCACAAACTGTCTGTAACAATATCCACATATTGCCACACATGTACCTAATATTCGGTGGAGGATGTACTTAACTAGCATCAGAATTTCAAAGGTGTTGGTCATTCCTGCTGCCCTACAGTTGCAGTTATTAGTTGCTATGTAGTTAACCACAAGTCACAGGGAACCTATCTGACAGGGTAGAACTGCCCCAAAGGCTGTCATCTTCATGGTAACAGCTAGCTAGGTTTTGTCACCTTTTTAAGCCCTAATGGGTTCGAACGCTGACCATTTAGTTAACAGCCAAGCACATTTACTTAACCATGGAGTCACCACCAGTTGCTGGTGCTTTTAAATTCTTGATGAAACTACCCTCTTGCCTCTTTTCAACGCATACTCCCCCAAATCCACCCCACCTTCCACTATTGCCACACTTAAAGCTTACAGTCATCTCTTAAGATTAATGAAACTGACTTACTGTTTCAAAATAACAAACAAGAAGTTGAAAATGTTAAATCAGAGCACATTATTCCTCAGCTGACAACCCTTCAATGAACTGACATTTTCATCTAATGGAAAGTTGATGTCCTTACAATGACCCATCAAATCCTCTACGACATAGTTCCCCTACCTTTCTTTAAAGTCAGTAGAATCAGGCACATTACTGCCTGTGGCATAGCATTTGCACCTGGCCTTCCTTAGCCTGAAAGCTCTCCTTTTCCACATAACCTATTCGGGATCAGTACTTTACTGTCTCAAGCTTTGTTTAAAGGTCACTGTAGATAGCCTTAGGAATCTTGCTGGCTCTGAGGACTGAGCACTATGTAAAGGTCAGTGGTTCAAATCTATTAGCCACTCCGCTCCGAAAGAGAATACAGTAATGAGGAAAGCCTGTATTGGGAATGACTTGATGGCAGTGGGTTTTGGGTGGGTACTGAAGCCTTCCCAGATAATCCTGAATTGAACCCCACCTTTTACCGTTTTCAGCACAGTGTTACCATCTAACCTACTGTGTTTTCCTGCTTTGTCTTCCATTTTCACAATCTATCTCATTCCATTTAAATGGTTAAGATTTGTAGTTTTGTTTACTGTTATATCCCTAATAGCCATAATAGTGCCTGGCACACAATAGGTTCTTGAAAAATATTAACAAACAAGACTGCCTACACCGTATTATATTCAGATACTACTTAGATTAAAGACCTTCTGTTATTTATTACCTTCCTTTACAATATTCTGCTTTTGCAAAGATTTATACTCTCAGAAACCCCAAAGAGCAGCTCTACTCTGTCCTATAGGGTTACTATAAATGGGAATTGACTCAATGGCGGCGGCAAGGGATGGGGGGTGTTGTTGTTGGGGGCTGGGTACTGCAATTACTCAAATACATATACCCCACCTGAAGCCTCAAGCATGCATGTACACAAATTTCTTATCTGAAACTCTTGGGACCAGTCACAATTAGGGATTCAGATTTTAGAAAGTTAATGCCTCGGTTCAAATAAAACTTTGCCTACCAATATGGATTTGCCTGCAAACTAAGGATTTTGAACCTGCAGTGAGTACTGAAGAGTGCCGTTGGCTCCATAGAAACAAAAACTGAAGTTCAATACCCCCTTGATGGTTGCAGAGAAATCAACAGCACCATAATTAGAAGAGGCTCATGTTACAGTACTTGATCCCGTTATGGGCAAGGAGATTTCATTTAGGGTAAAGACAAGAAACCTGACAAAAATCAAGTTCATTAAAAATATTCTAAGCCAAAGAAATGAACCAAGTTCCCAAGATCGTTTAAGATTCAAAACCATCAACAGAGATAAAGAACTGTGCTGCCTCCAAGTCTGACACACTGCTAAATAAAGCTTCTGAATATGCCAGACCAGATTCAAGGAAATTACCTAAAGAAAGCCTTAAAATAGTAGCCACTCCTATTCGATCCCCACACAATGACTTTACACTATCATGAAGGTAAGCAAGTTGATCGATTTCATTTATCACACCATGCCCTCATACATTGCAACTTTAGCTTTAAAGCTTCAACTCAGCAAATTACTGATTTCACCTTTATATTAACCTATCACTCCATCAATAAGCTTTGTCATTGTTGAATAGCAAACTAAGCAAGTTCAGTGATTTTCACAAAATGTGCATGGCATAAATGGAATGTAACATTTTCAAGAAATCTGATAGATTTGCAGATGTGAAGCCTAACAGAATTACTATCACTGACTTATGAACTATGAACACGTTATAAATCTTCATGCTTGTGGTACTCATTTCATTTGGGAATGGTCATTGTTATGTCAAGGAAGAATTGGTGTAGGTTATCTTGATCCAATCTCTTTTAAGATATAAGCAAGCTAGCAGAGAGAGAGAGAGAGAGAGAAAAAGAGAAAGAGAGAGAGAGAGGAGGGAAGAATGATGATAAAATCATCTAGGAGAAAAGCTTTACGACTTAAAAGAATCTAACTGTTGAGAACTTCAGAGCGTTCTTCTAGTGCAGCAGTTCAACCTGTGGGTGGCAACCCCTTTGGGATTGAACAACCCTTTCACAGGGGTCGCCTAAAACATCCTGCACACCACATATCTACATTACAATTCATAACAGTAGCAAAATGACAGTTATGAAGTAGCAATGGAAATAATCTTATGGTTGGGGGTCCCAGCATGAGGAACTGTATGAAAGGGAAGTTGAGGACCACTGCTCTAGAGCCTGCTCCCTACATTCTGACTTCTAATCTCCTAAATTGTGAGAAAATAAATTTGCTGAAGCCACCCACTTATGTTTTTTCTGTTATAGCAGCACAAGATGACTAAGACACTGACTAAACACTCTCATAATGAAAAGTTTTATAATCAGTCTTTATTCCCAGTGAAAAATGACAAGTTCTTAAAAACTGTCTACCCTATACATTTCCTGTAATGAACAGTTTTACATAAAAAATACAAACATAAAAACTCCTGGATATCTAGTAAGCCAAGAGAACACTAGAGCTCTATGTAACTAAAACAATTTAAACCACAAACATCGGATGAAGACATATCCCCTTCTTTAGTGAATCTGAATTCAGAAATTGAAAGAAAAAAAAAAGATCAGTGGACTGAGAGTTAATGTGGACATTCTGTAGAGACCACAACCAAAGTTATTTAAGTCCGATCAAAATATAGTTCAGTGAAAATTTCCTGAAGACCAAGGTGCTAAATAGGATAAAATTATTTGACTTTTGTTCCAAATTTCATCAACATGTATTTGTTTGGAATTCCAGAAATAAAGGAGAAAGTGTGTAGAATGTAAAAAGATACTTACTTGCTTTGACAGTGCAATAGTAAGTCAATAATGAATGTTTGCCAAGCCTTTTCTTTACTAAGTGCATCTAAGGCTGTCGGAATCAAGGCGAAACATAATGTCATCACTTCCATTGCTTCACAGCAAACTTGTTCATCTTCCAAGTCCAGCTCATTGCCAGCATTGGTCTGTAATATCACAATCAGGAGCAAATTATAGCGAGATGCAGTTACTGTATATACTTGAGTATAAGCCTACTTAAACTGCATTAAAAATGTGCTGTAAAACTTGGCTTATACTCGATTATACACGGTAAGTAAAATCCTACACATTTAATTAACACTTACAACTAAACTTGCTGAGTTAAACCCTGTGGCCTCAGTCTCTTCACTTGCAATTCTTAAGCAGCTTTTAAAACTGTCTACAAACAATTGTGATAGGCAATGCAGTTGACCTCCTGATTTCTGCTATGTCCCAAGAAAGACGGAAGGAAAACGCTGAGTGCATCACCAGTTTCTTCATCCACCTGGCTTCCTAGAGACCTTCTGATTTGTGCCCTCTGTACCCACATTCACTCCCTTCCCAAAAAAACCAGTTAGGTACATACCTTGGACTAGATCTGTTATGTAGCTTATCTATAATTATTTTTTTATTAAAAACAAGAACAACAACTATCTTAACAATTATTTGGGATGGTTTGAAAAGACAAACTAAAATATGATTTGAATGGGTATAGCTGATAAATTCTGACTTTATTATCAAAAGTAATAATTACAGCACATGAGAATTAATATTAGCACCCAAGCTGGGGAAAATGCACGGTTATGTTGGCCATACGACAGAAAATGGCACAATTTCATTAAAAAGGCAGGCTCATGGAAGAATTCTGAAGTACTTTAGCTTCAAAGTTAAGTTTCACTAACACTAATCCTAACCAGAGCTACTGGTTAATTTTAAAAATACAAATTGAGTAGCCCTTTCGGTATAGCAGACATAATAAAAGTGTAGTCAACATGCATAATTAAGCAATGCTTATTCAAAAGAAATATAATTCTTACCTTTTCATAGATTTTTGTAATTTCTTCATTGGGGCTAAATACTAGCTGTAATGCCCCACATCCTGATGCCCAAATAATTTTCTGTATAGCTCTAATCACACAAATATCAGGCATGTACCTTGAAGCCTGCAAAGTAATAAGTTATTTTGTTGACAGGACATTAAAGTGAATTCATCATTAGATTAAAAAAATGATTCTCCTTGCAAAAGAAATTGTAATAATCAAATTAAGCTTTGGTTCCTAAGCTGCCTTTGTCCTGTTTTGTTGACATCAATACTTCAGATGTTCTCCCCATTGTTATCTGGTCCTGTACTATTTCCACAAAAATCTTTAAAATGAGAACAAAAATGATCTAACCATTCCAACTGGATTTTATTTTATCCATGAGAGATGAAAACCTATGTCCACACAAATATTTGTACAGAATGTTCATGGCAACTTTATTTACAGCCGAAAAATATGGGAAGAGGAAGAATCCAAATGTCCTTCACTAAAGTATGTGGAATAAAGAGGAATATTCACAGTGGAATACTACTCTGCAATAAAGGAATGCACTGCTGATAAATACGCTAAAAAAAATCATCTCAAAACCGGTGTTCTCAGTTGGAGAAGGACACAATAGAATACGGCTGCGTTTGTGTAACATCCTAGGAACAAAAACTACTCTACTATGACAAAAAGATCAGTGGTTGCTCGCAGCCAAGGGTGGACCGCAAAGAGGCAGTAGGTTTTATAAGTAAACACATCTGTCAAAAGCTCACTGCATACTTTGTAAGGTTGCTATTTACCGTATATAAACTTTACCTCAATAAAGGAGATTAAAAACAGAATACTAATATTATTTTACACCAATAATAGCAGTATTAGCAGGTAAATATTATGTTAATGAAACAAGCCAAACGGAGATAGTGATTAAATTGAGCGGGGTCTAGGAAAATTAGATCTCAAATTGTGAAAAACCCAGAGGACCAAAAATGGAAAGAAATGAACCATCTACAATCTCAGAGCTTTAAAAGTTTACTACTAACCTCATCAGATATCTGCTGAGCAAGACGAATGGACACATTTCTAAGCATGCACTCAGATGATGGATTAGGAATACTCTGAAGGGCACTTTGTAGCACCACTGCTTGATCATGAGTAACTTGGTTGACCTGAAAACAGTTAACCATTTTACTTGGGGTAAATAATTTGTACATAACCAGAACACAACCATTTGCTCCTCATCCATCACCAGTCTCTCAGGATAACCCCCTTACTTACATATATTTTTAGAATCCCTGGTAACCCATATAAAAGGCCCATTAATGCGGGCTTCCTCTTCTTGTGCTTTGGAGTGTCCTATATTCCCCCACAAAACCCCATTCTAGATGAAGTCAATGTGTGGGTATTTCTACAACTGGGCTCAGATTAACTTGCAGGGGACAAATGACACAACACACTGGTTCCACCCTCATCCAGACAACACTTTCACATGCATGTTCCTGAGCAGACCTGCTCAAGTCCTACTATTAAGAAATTCTTCTTTGTAAATAAAAAAATTGAGGAAGAATAAAAAATAGTAGAAACACGGAGAAAAAAAATCGCACTGTAATGTAACTAAAATTTAAAATCTAAAAACAGACTTATTTTTATTAATTAGTTACTAGCCAGAAAATTATCTTAAGTTGTTATACTCTTTCTGTATATGTATTTCTGCATATTTTAAGTATTTAAGACATCAATTTTACTCCCAACAGACTTAATAAAGACATTTTCTCAATAAATATTAGTGAAAAAGTAAAAAGGGAAACATAATTGTTTTGCTTACTTCATTAAGCATTCACATTAGGAATCACAAGTGCCTGGTGGAACAAATGAATTATGCTCAGCTACTGACCCTTCCTTAGGTTGATGGTTCAAATCCACCTAGCAGTTGTCACAGAAAGGCCTGGTGATTTACGTCCATTGCAATCATTGAAAATCATATGGAGTATAGTTTTACTCTGATACACATGGGGTTACCATGAATCAGAATCAACTCAATGGCAACAAACTTGACTTTTGTTATGGGATAAGGCATCCTGACAAAATTTAGTTTTATTCTAACAAGAACCTCTTTTTGCAATCTAATGAAAAACACTAAACCCTAACAAACACAGAACAGTACAATACAATACAACAAAGCTTACTTGGGGAGTAGAGGCAGAGATATACAAAGGTCTATTCTGTGTGTGCAAGAAAAAAACCACTGGTATATAAGATTATGTCACTTGTATTAATACCCTTCTATCCCCACACACCAGGGATATATCCTATATATCACAGGGATATATCCTATATATCACATAACTTCTTCTGTAACTATTTCAGCAATTATTTATAAAAGACAGGTACTCTTGCCTTTTAAATATAACTGCAGTATCAGTACCACACCTAAAACAACAGAAAATTACTCCATAATATGACATATAAGACGAATATTCCAATCTCCCGGATTCAAACCTAAGCTATTTCTAAAGAAGAAAAACCATAGTTTGGACTCTTCTAACAGGCACTGAATAAGACTGTCTTGAAAACTTTGGGTGATGTGAACCAAGAAAGTGAAAACAACTCCGAAAAAAAGATTAAGCCATTGATCCAGGGGTTATAGGTCGGAAACAGGCGAAAGTGAGCCATCGCTTATTACCAGCTGCATCTTTACAGAAGGCGCCCTGGTGGCACAATGGGGTTAAGCATTCAGCTGTGAATCAAAACATTGGAGGATCAAGCCTATCAGCAGCTCTGCAGGAGAGAAGTATAGTGGAGAGTCTGCTTCTGTTATAGACTTCAAAACCCTACTGGGTAAATTCTATTCTGTCATGCAGGTTTACTATGAGTTGGGATTCAACTTGTCAGCAAAATGTTTGGCTTGTTTTGGTTTCTTTATATACCTGTCCAGAAGGAGGTAGGAGGAAATTCTTAACGTTTTTAATTAGAGTTAAGATTAATTCAAAATCAAACAGGATTTAAAAGGTCAGGAATTAACTACTCTCAAATTAACAGAATAGAAGAAAATTCTAATATGAGGTACTATTGGAAAGGCATTTTAAACATTATGAATTGACCTTGAATGCAATAAAGTGCTGCTGAAAAGTTTAACTTTAATGGTTATTACCGATGTCATGGGATTCACGCCTTCTACACCAGGATGATAAGCTTCTGCCACAGCTCGCACATGGCCATAGCCAATGGCAGTGAGCAACAGTTTGGCTATTTTAAGAGCATTGAGGTAGGCACCCCTTCGAGTTTCCATGTCTGCATTTGGAAGGAAGTTGTTTCTTGTCAGCATACTCAGGACAAGGGGAAGACCACCACTTTTCAAGAAATGAAATTGAAAGTCAGAGGACTCATCAGCCAGAGGTGCACCAGCAGGCATTAACAAGGCATAGACAACCTGGGGAAAAAGAAGAAGAATGTATTTAAAGGAGTTTCAAAGTGAGTCATTAACTTCTACTTCTCATATCATCACTGCTAAAAAAATGTGACTCATTCAAAATAGTACACATTATAATGGTTTCAATGTTCTTCTATTTCCATATGAAAAGCTGTATTCACAATAATCCTGTATATGCAAAAGGGAAAACACCAACCTCTGTTAAGTATAGCACTTGTGAGGCTGAGGGCCCAAAGAAAAGGGAGTCAAGAGATGGGCTAAGGCTGCTCTCGCCAAGTTTTGCGTGGTCCAAACAAATAGCTCTTAGTTTTTCTATTGTAGTGCTATCTGTAAGAAAAACAAGACAGTTAAAAAAAAAACATAATTCATGGTTTCATTATGTTTCACTTCTATGATATACCAAAGGCTATTCAGTTAAGTCATATGCTCAGTCACAAGACAAGAAACCTAAACTATTATTATAAAGACAGAAAATAATGAATAGTAACACATACTCGAACAGTGCAAACCTTGGACCCCAACTGCCTGCATTTTTATTCTAGAACTGTCAATCAAGCTATTTGAGCCTGGTCAAGTAACTTTCTCTTTCTGTTCCTCTGTTTTTCCATCTTTAAAATAGAAATATAGAAATTCCCTCATAGTGGTATTATTTGGTTGAAATGAGTTAATAAGGTCAAAGGACTTAAAAGAGATTGAATTACCCACAGAAGACAGCAATAATTTCTAAGTTTAACAACAATTCGCAACAGAGGCACTTGACTCCGGTTAAGAATTGAGAATAATTTAAAATAGGATCACCCATCAAATACCCCAAATTTACTCCTAGTTACCCAGCCAGAAAAAGAATTCATAGCCATGGTCTTTTCTAAGAATGCCTACTCCCACAGAAGTGAGCGCATTTACTTGTCTGTATAAAGAAAGCAACACAGTGAGCTAACATTTGTGTTAACAGTGACAGAATGGGTTAATCTTTGTTGAATGTTGACATTAAGTGCCAAGTATTAAAGTAAGAATTTCCCAGCCATCACTTCATTTAATCCCCACAAATCTACAAAATAGTTATTGCTATCCCAGTGTTACAGACAAGAAAACTCCGAGGTTAAAATAACAAAAATCCAAGGCTAATGATTGGCACCCAGAAGAAGGATTTGAATTTGTGTGTTTGATACCAAATACTATACATTTTCTTCGATAAAACAATCATCATGGTTTTTTAAAAAAGTTGTTTTATTTTAATTTTTTTTAAAAAGCGGTTTTAAATTTAGGTAATATACTTCGATTGAAAAAAAATTTTAAAGGCATTCTCTCACATTTCTTGCTTAAACTGTTTGGTAGTAGTATACTCTCCCCATCTGGTGGCATCATATCACCAGGATTTTTAATTTAAATCATTTTATTGAGGGTTCTTACAGATATTATAACAATCCATGAATCAATTACATCAAGTAAACATGTTCATATGTTGCCGTCATCATTTTCAAAACATGATCTTCTTACTTGAGCTCTTAAGTTCCCCAGATCAACCAATTATGGTGTAATTATGAGGAATGTACCCCCCCAAACCACTAGAATGAGAACATAAAAATATGACCGTAATAGGATATTAAAAAAAGTTTGAGGGAAGCCAGTCCTGAGCTCCACCAGCTGCCGCCAAGCTGCCACCATGTCTCTGACCAGGACCGAGAGGTCCCTGGTCTTGTCCATGTGGAGCAAGGTCTCCCTGCAGGCCGACAGCATCGGCACCGAGATCCTGGAGAGGCTCTTCACCAGGTACCCCCAGACCAAGACCTACTTCCCACACTTCCACCTGCACCCGGGCTCGGCCCAGCTGCGCGCGTATGGCTCCAAGGTGGTGGCCGCAGTGGGCGACGCGGTCAAGCACATGGACAACATCTCAGGGGCGCTGGCCAAGCTGAGCGAGCTGCACACCTACATCCTGCGTATGGACCCTGTCAACTTCAAGCTCCTGTCTCACTGCTTGCTGGTGACCCTGGCCGCGCGCTTCCCCGCCGACTTCACGGTCGAGGCCCACTCTGCCTGGGACAAGTTCCTGTCCATCGTGTCCTCCGTGCTGACGGAGAAGTACCACTGAGTGCGGCCCCCCAGCCTCGGGCTGTGGCCACTCCGGCCCCTAAGCCTGCCCCCCAGTTCCTCCCCGAATGACTCCCCAATAAACGGATGAGGATACACACACACACACAGAGAAAACACTAGAGAAATATCAACCAATTATAGTAAGTACAGTGGGTACAGAAGGTAGATAAAAGCATGGCGGGATGAAGATATGTTTGGGGGGGCGTGTGTAAGAGAATATAGAGTATCTGATTCTAAAGATTTATAAACAAACAGATGACTCAAAGGTCTAAACGCAGTAAATGATGTTTCCTCTCTTTTCATGAAGGAGTCAGGAAACCAACCCTCCTAAACTCCAAAAGAAATTTGTGAACTCTCTTGAGAAAGAAAAACGGAGAGGAGGATCTGGATCAAGATGACCAAGTACAGCAAGAGTGGTCGAGACATTCCAGACTGTAATATGGCAGAATTCATACTTTATCGTTTATACAGGGAAGGCCAACAGTAGATAAGCCCTATCCAAACAAAGAGCATTTTAATCTTGAAATTATTTATAAGTGCATTCTTTAATTTCAATTTTTTTTACAACTGCATTCTTAAAAAAAACAATGCTACATAGACTGGTTGAAAAAAACAACTGTGTAATAAACAACAAAATAATATGCAGATAGAAATCACTGCTAAACAACTGAGCTTCCTCATTCATTTTTATGTCTGCATAATAGTCGTTGTGCAAGTAATACACAATGTTGTATATGCACAATTAAGTAAAACAAGCGAAGTGCAACGCAAAATTTAGATACTGCATTTTGCGTTGTCTGCAAAAAGATACTGGAATGATAACGAGAAAGAAATTCAGTAAACATTTATTACTGAGAGAAAGTAGCAAATATATTTAGAAAATTTTAAGTATATCTTTTTGAGTTGACTTTTAGAACCATGGACATTTTTTAACATATAAAAAAAACAAGTAAACAAACAAAAAAACCAAGTAAACAAGTAAGACCAGAAATGAAAAGGAATCCCTAGGTGGCAAAAATGGTTAAGTCACTAATCGAAAAATTGGTATGACAGCAAGGTATGAGCCAATACAGATAAACTGAAATGGCACATCACCTGACAGGCTAATCTGGCTAACAACCTGAACTGAATCATGACGAAAGAGAGAAATCTAAATTGGAGGGACAGTCTACAAAACAACTGGCCCTTAAGCACCCCGACTGTCAAGGTCATGAAAGTAAAAGACAGGAACTATCCCAGGATACTAAAAAGATATGTCTGAGGCAAACACAATGCAATGTTTAAATTCTACACTAGGTAACTTTTTTCTTTCTAGGATATTACTGATAATTCTAAGGTAGTTAAGTTAATGCATTAATTTTAATTTCCTGACTTTTTGGTTTAAGTAGAAAAAAATATCCTTGGGTCCTGGGCTGAACAAAAATGAGCAGTGGACTGGATTTGGACAACACTTTACCAATCTCTGGCGTGTTACATAGCAGAAAGCATGTTTCATTTAAAAACAGAATTTGCTCATATTTTTCCCTGTATTATTTAGCATGTTCTATCATGAATATCAGATTCTTCAAAATATAACAACAATAAAAACAAACTAAAAACCACCCACAAAACTTACCTGGTGGCATAAGTTTCATAAGTACTCTTGCTCCATCTCTAAGAGGTGGCATATTGAGGCTGCTACCCAAGTCAGCAACTTGCCAAAGGAAAGAGATGTATCTGGGATGCAGTGACATTATCTAGAATACAAAATACACAAAATGCTTTAATTTGTAAATTAAGCAAGAAAATGTTTCTGAAATGTGTTTGCTAATCACTATCATTTTTCCTTTTGTCACTTCTATCCTCTTTGAAATGGCCTCCCTTCCCCATCTTCTTCTTGTCACAAATCTTTCAGCATGCAGAACATACCATTCTAAGTAACTGCCAGTAATTTGTGACAGCTTTTACTATTTTGCTAAACTTTTTATCCTATATAGTACTTAAAACACTGTACATAATAAGTGGCTACCATGACTCCTCCGAGTTAAATTCCTAATTTGTCAAAGGGAGTCAAATTCTTCTAAAGAACAAAATTTTACAATCTAAATTCATATATTCAAGCTGTAGAATTGATTACTTTTCTAACACAATGTAACAAACTTTTAATGTAACAAATTTTAAACTTTCAACTAAGTTACAATCATCATTCAGAGGGATCCATTCTGAAGTTGACTGATGACTAATTGCATAATCATTTTGTACGTTGCCCCATTAAACAGTTAAGATCCGGGAGGAAAAAACAAAAAACCCACTGTTCTACATACTTCTTTTGATTCCTAGAGAACCCAAGTGTAATGCTTTGGAAATAACAGCTCAAGACTGCATCCACGTACCACCCCAGGCAAACAGCTTTCCACTTCTGGATTGGGACCATCACTGTAATGATTTCCATGGTTTCCAGGTGATCCAGTTGAAGAATCAGAAGAACTATCCGGACTTGAAGGCATATTGGAACTTATTTGGGTAAGTTTAGCTGTAATTAACTGAAAAATGACAAAATGTATTAGTATCAAGAATGGGGGAAAATACACACACAAAACAAAACTTAGTGGTATACCAAAATAAAAAAACAAAAATATTATGTGCTATATTCTAGACATTTTGAAAGTATTGTCTAACAAAGCCAATAAAATAAATTGTTTTTTTAAAAAACTTTCCTCTCTACTAAAGTGCCATAATGCCTGGCTAGCTTAGTGATACAATCCAAATCCGTAATAGAAAAAATACCTATCCACTTACTTTCTTGAAAAGTGTGATTTTATACACTTACCGATTTATCTTTTAAATTTAATTGTCCAATCAGCTTTCTATCATCTGCAGAATCTATCAGCTCACCACCAACGAAAAGCTCAATTTTTGTATGGGCAACATTGGCCTTAATGCGATTGAGAATACAACGTCGTACCGAACCAATTGTGTCATTTGTATGAGACCACACGTCCAAGTCATCAACCTGTCTGCCTTGGTTTGGAAATCGAACTATAAAAGACAGGTGTTTACCACGAAAAGCTCTAGAGGGGAGGAAAACAAAAGAGCATCATCAAATTCAGCAGGCTATCAAATACTGGTGCCAAAAAAATAATGTTGGTCATTTAGTGTTAAATATTTTATCAAAAATTTATATAACTGAAAAATAAACTGATTGTTGTGGCCATGGCTGCAGAACGTTAGATTTTTAGTTATAATAAATTCAAACAAAGATAAGAGTTAACACTTCACTTCTTTATTAATGTGGAAGATAAACTTTAGCTTAACAGCATCAACAAAAATGTCAAGTCAGGCTTTTATTCCCCCCCTTAAAAATTCTCAACATCAAAATTTAGCCTAGAATAGTACTTCTATTAAGCATGAAGCATTTGGGGGAATAAGATATATGACACAAAAAATAAAAGGGCAACTTTATATGTCACAGTTAACAGGCTTAATTTAAACATTACTGATAACATTCATGCTGTAGAGGTCAGTGGTTCTCAATCTT